ACTTTGGTTCTTAAACATTATCTTAATCTTTTGAATTCTAATAAGGGGCCTGGAGTCTCTCCATGGCTTTTTTCTCTACAGTAATTTGAAGCTCCTATAATCAAAATAGTAAGATTGTACTTGACTCTTTAATTTATTTTTTTTTTTTTAAACTCACGAGTGTCTTGCACTTTACCTGCTATTGTTGGATGCCCTTTCTCTGGAGTTTAATTAAAGATTGATTCTTCTGACATTTCCTCTTTAGTTCAAATAAGCTTATCGTCTAACCATACTGGCTCTTGGTTTGGTTTTCATTTCCATGTTGTGGTGTGTATTCCCTCTTGAAAGCTACAAAAGCATCCCTGTTGAATATAACTGCTAGTCACAGGTGTGTTGGGTTTTTTTCCTGAAGGGGGTCAGCACTGCCTTACAACTGCTGTTTGTTATGTCTCATCCCAGTGAGGCATATCTGATAGAGCATTCCCTTTGCTCTTAAATACGGGTTCATCTTGTTGTTTTCCATAGGAGTTATTAGCAAACGTTGCTTTTAATTGCTCCATTGGCTAAATCTCATAAAGGTTTAGGTAAAACAGTCTTTCAAACCATGGCCTCTTTCCACAATGTTTGCAAATATTATGTAATAAGACAATTCATGGGGTTCTTGGAGGTGCTTTGCAGAAGTCTCCTCGGTGTTAATACCAGCAATACCACTGCACTAAAATCATCTAACTCAGTAAGGTGTATAAGGGAGTGAGGATCCCCCAGGTACCTCTTCCAGAATCAAGGCTTGCAGTACAGTGACCAACCCCGTGCCTCAGGCCTTAATTACATGCTGCAGACCTGCAGTGTTCTAGCCAAGTGGCCCAGCTACTTCCAGGCCATGCTGCCTCTGGCTTAGCTTCCACCTGTCCCTCTGACTCTTCATGGTTGCGGCTGTGTGGTGCCCCAGGTTCGTTAACTGGGTTGTTCTGTACCCATTTTTGCACTAAAGTTTTTTCAGAATAGCTCCAGCAAATTCAAAGACTGTCTTACTTGAACTGGTGTTGTCTTATCATGTGTGAGTTACAGTACAGGCAAGATCCTACTGGGTAGATGTTTGGGGATTTGTTTTCTTCACTGTAGAAGAGGCTTAGATGCATCTTTCTGGTGGTTCATGTTCGCATCTGACCCAGGGGAGCAACAGGAATTAACCACCGATGGAGATTTTTGGCCATGCCTGATTTCTCTACACGTCACATCTGTTTTTCTCATGGTTTTAAATGGTTGAGTTGTATAGACTTAAATAACCTTTTAAAGTAATTTCATTGCAATATCTTGTCCAACAAAGCTTGTTGGTTATAAGAATATGTATTTTTTTATGCCTAAAGTTTTCTTATCAGCTTATAAAAATGCAACATTTACCTCAGTCATCCCTGTTTTGTGATGAATACCCATTAATTCCTTTTTCTTAAAAATTAACTCTTAATGTTTGAGGTGGTTTTTTGGATGGCTCATCTAAATGCAATTTGTGCTTCATGCTTTTTCTTGAATGGCTACTTGATTTAGTTAAACAGATGGAGTCCTTGTGGAGGTATTCTTTGTTCAGAGTATATCCTTTTTGGAATTAAATTTAATAAGGAGCTATCACAACTGGAATAAAAGTGCTCTATTTCAGTCATAGTACATAATGTTGTAGGTAGTTGTTCCAAGACTGTTTGTCATATGTTTTGTAGACAAAACCTAAAACACAGCCTTTGAACTAAACATCAAAAGGCCTTTGAAGATATTTGGGAGGGTTGTTTTCTTATAAGGGTCTCTTAATCCCAGTAAGAGGCTTTTGTTTGGTTTTCTGTTTGATTTTTTTTTTTTTTTAATTCTTTTTTTATTTCCTGAAGAGAAGGGATTTCCTATTGACTTTATGGTCACTCCTGCTTATCAAGAGCCTGTCTGTACAAGTCCTGCTTCTGTCATCCCCTAACTGAAAGCATAGATTTATCAATACTGTCTCAATCTGGAAGTCACATAAAATTTAATTTCAAATATTGTACATTGTCGCTGTTGTCCTTTCCACTCTTCTTTAGGATATAGAAAGATGGAAAGCTTCATCTGACAACAAGGAAAGATCAGGCATTTTTTGAAGCATAGTTTTCATTGTCCAAGTGCCTCATAGTGTTGTGTTGGTTTTTTTTTTTTAGTGGTGGTGGTTGGTTTGTTTTGTTTTCAGTGGCGTTCTTTTCGTTTCCTGTGAACTGTTCCCACTCCCAGAGCTTGATCCTTTTTCAGGCTGTTTTTTACATGAGGCATTTCGGTACATGCCAAACCTCCTGACCGCCACTGTGGTAGATGGGCATTATTTCCCCATGTCCTAGTAGTCCAGAAATGACAGCTAACACAATCTGCTGCTGTGACATTGTGTGGTACTTTTAAGACTGTGTTTGTGCCTTGAAATACTAAGCAGTATTTAAAAGACCTTTATAGGTAAAACTAGCAGCTCTGTGGAATGTCAAAAGAAGCACATTTAAAATTACAGGTGTAAAGTTTGCTCAGGTGTAAATAGTGTAATTGCCAGGGATGTGTATTTTTCACTGTTTAAATAGATTCTAATGTATGAGGAATATAATTGAATACTACACATGTGACTTGTAAAATTAGTTCATTATCTCCTTCAAGTACTTAAAGCAACTAAATCAATAAAATGACATTTCTGTCGTACACAAAATTTTCATGTAGGTTTGAATGTCTAGAAATAACTATTTTCTGGATGCTAGCTAGTATGAATTTTAAGTTCAGATTTAGTCTCATGTCAGAAAAATTAGCTAAACCTGTGATTTAATGTTTGAGGAACTTGAGCGGGTTTTTTTGGGTTGAAACTGTTGTCAAGGTAGTCAGGAGGATCTGTGTCCCCAGGTATGCTACATAAAGGATAAATCTGTTTGCATTTCAGCCTGATTTCAGGTCTCAAGTTCTGTTTTGCAGCCAGTGTATGTGTGTGTGTGTTCATATACCCATTAGTTAGAAAGACGTGTCAAACGGAGCATATTTTTGTCTGCTGCATAGTAAAGAAAGGGGGATGGGGATGTGTGTGTGTTTTCTTTTGTATGGGGTTTTTTATTTTCCTTTAAATGTGATGGTATTATACAGAGAGTTTTCTGTGAGCTGGCAGTTTGATGTACTTTCTTGGAAGTTCTGCACAGAACTAGGAAAGGACATGTTATAATTTGTGAGGTGAGACATTTATTAATAGCTAGAACTAAATCTAAAAGCCAGGTTTTGTCTTCGAGACTAACATTACTACTCCTAAGCATTCTGCTTTTGAGTGGCTGTGGAATTGTAACAGAATAGGTTTGTGCTCCAATAAATGCCTGTGGTGCAGTGCTTTGTTTGAAGTGAAGGCAGAAAACTTGCAATGACAAGCTTGGGTTTTATTTGATTGGCCTTGAAAACCTCATGCAAGTAAAGACAATAGAATGATCTCAAAATTGACCTTGTCATTTTTCGAATATTTCCTTGCAGCATCGGAAATATGACCATAACAGCCTTGTGTTGGTGTAGGAGAACAAAAAAATTCAGTTGGGTTGTCTAGTTCATTGTCCAAACTGAGTGAAATACTAAATTTATATGACATTTGAGAGGAAAAGGAAAACTGAAGTTTTAAAATCCTTTAACGTACAGTTTTAGCAATACAGGTATGGGAAACTTTCAAATATTTTATTTTGAGAATGTCAGAGGTACATTTAAAAGATCAGGACAAGAAGGGAGAAGTGGTAAAACTATCCCTTTTCCAGTTCCTTGTGATATTAGAAACAGAAATTTTTAAGGTTATTTGGAGTAAATAAAGCAAGAAACATATAAGGAACTCATATTCTAACCTGTAAATATAGGGTTTTGAAAAAATTCAGACATGACTTTCACAGCATTTTGAGTTTTGTTCTGATGTATGACTGTAAGCCAAAGGAGCAGCTTTTCCTTATGTAATGTATAGACTTGTTCACAGACTTTTCATCATAATTTAAGAAAACTCTTGATAGCTTCAACTCTGGGGATGCCTTACACTGATTTATGTATTCTGTAGTTTAAACACTGATTGTCATTGTGTATTCCTTTTGTTTAATATGGAGTTATGGATTTTGCATGGAGCTTGCTTTTTACACATGAGGAGATTAAAATTTTGTGGATTTAAGTTTTTAAATGTTTAGAGTGTACTTGTTTCAAATGCTGCTATTACTCAAAGTAAATTTCTGGCTAGATTTAAAATCAGGAGCTAAGAAAAGCTGTCATAGTTGAATCCAAAATAGCATTGTGTGTTTGTATGTCCAGTTTCTATGTAATACACACAGGCAGCAACTTTTCATGCTTCCTTTACGTTAGATGTGAAGTGTTTCAAATGTGGAAAAGAAATCCATCTAGCAAACATTGTGGGGAGGTACAAACCTTGGGTAGATTTTTAACAGCACTACTGACAGCAACAGGTTTGTAACCAGGGTTTGAGAGACCCACTCTGCTCATGTTGAATGAGATGCTTGGGTAAAGGCTGTTATCAATGCCTTCTTGAGTCTGGGTTTTATTTGAACTATGGGACTGTAACCTTCAAAACTTCAGTCAAATACATGGATATATTTGGTAGAGTCATGGAATTTTGTGCTTCCTGTAGCTATTAGGCTTGGCCAAAGTGTGGGAGAGCAAAAACTGACCTGGCACGTTGGTGTTCAGTGCTGCTTCTAAAATCCTAGCCTGTGTCTTTCCCAGTTAGTCAAAGCAAAGTTATCAGGGGAGGGGAAGAACTAACCATGAAGATTACTCTAGGGGGAAAAGACTTGATGAAGAAGTAAAGAATACCATATGGAAGACAGTATTTTGAACTGAAAATTGAAGGAGGCTAAAACTGTGGAAATTTCCTAAATACTTTGGTGTAGAATGTGAAAGGATAAATAATAACAGTCCAGAAGAGCTGGGAGTTACTCTTAAGCTTTATGTCCAAATATGATTGCTATTGTGCTTTATAGTGATGCTTTGAGGTCTTACGGAAGTTTTTCTTAATGTAGGTTACACACTACAAGCAATATCCACCTAACACAAGCAAAGTATATTCCTACTTTGAATGTCGTGAAAAGAAGACTGAAAATTCCAAACTAAGGAAAGTGAAATATGAAGAAACTGTTTTTTATGGTTTACAGTACATTCTGAATAAATATTTAAAAGGTAACTGTTTCAAATTCCAGTAAAACTTTTCCTGTAAATAAATATCTTATTTTTTCTCAAACCTGTAGTCTTATAGTTAAAACAATTCCAGGTTATCTTGGTATACCATAAGTAGTGACATGCATAAGATCTTATTTATACGATTCTGCAAATAAGTTGTCCACTCTCGTAAAATTGTAATTCAGACACCTCTCTACTATCTTTATTTATGCCAGTGGTTTATTAAAAATGAAGAGGTGTGCATGTCCCAACTTCAGAGGGCTAAATTAAAATAAATGGAAATAAAGCAAGACTATGCATGGATTCAAAAGCAGATAGAAGATTTAATGGAAAACACGTTTTGCATTTTGAACATAAACTTCAGTCTGTATTTGCTGGTTTGTTTACTGTGTAAACCAATAATGGTTTTAATTTTCCTTATATTTTGGATGCCCCTCAGCTTAGATCATGGTATATGTCAGCTACATGTGAAAATGGTTTTAACAGTGCTAGTTTTAAGAGTTTAAGAAAATTCCTTGACGCTGTTTGCTTTTTTGCATTATGTACAAATATCACCTGAATATCTGTACAAATATGTACAGATATATATGTACAAATATCTGACCTGAATGCAGGTTGCCTTCTGCCAAGCTTTAGAAGGAAAACTTTAGTCATATGACTTACTTATCTTTATCTTGAGCTAATGAATATCTCTGCCAATCCTGCCAAAGATTGAAATTCCATTATGATCAAAACACTTGATAATTTTATTTCTTTTGTCTTTAGCAATCTGAGGATTGTTCTCTAAGGTAGACGATTGGCCCTAGAGCAGTAGCAATGCTTATTCAAATCATGTGCTTTGTCTGTTGGCTCCTATCACAAAGTGGTCAGTCAAAGGTTGGTTGTAACACCTCTCCATGGTGATTCTCCCTGGAGCAGTGTAGCTTAACCCTTGTGTCAACTTGCACTATCAAAACATTCCTCTGGGAAAAGCACTATGACCAAACCTCTTGACAGTGCTTTGACCATCATAAAAAAATAGTAGTCTCAAATTGTTCTGAGTCACCTGCAAACTCCAAGTGTATTTTATCCTGTTGCTTTCTTGAGCATCCTAATCCATGTAATAAATTAAACTAAAATTTTGTTTAAACATACTGCATTTGACACATTCTTCATGTCTTTGTTGAAGGCAAAGTGACTTTGCTATGCCTGAACCTTTTTGTATTTAGTTTATCAGTTGATGAACATTATAAGTTTCTAAGCTTTCATGTGTTTCTGAAACTACAGGTAAAGTGGTGACCAAAGAGAAAATCAAGGAAGCCAAAGAAGTATATAGGGAGCATTTTCAAGATGATGTCTTCAATGAAAAGGGATGGAACTATATTCTGGAGGTAAAAAAAATCATGAAATAGTTTGAGATCATCATGAAGGATTTCTGAATGAACTGTAGGATAAATACTTTTAATCTTGATAGTAAAGACTGGATAAATTTAGCTTCTCATGTTTTGTGTACGGGGAGTAGCAGCTGTCAAAGAATAATCATATAATTGTAATTCCTTAGAGAAAAGTAATTTTCATCCCTTCAGATGCCAAATACGGTTTTGCAGGTAATAAGGATTTATGGCTGCCGTCAGCCAGCTCATGTAAGTGGGGGCTTGTTGGCAAGTCTCCATGTGTAATATAGCACTTAGTGGTTGCTTGCATCATTTACATTGCTTTCTCTAACTAATTGTAACAATTTTTATTCTAATGCAGAAAGCATTACAACTTCTTGGGTGTATAAATAGTTCCAATAAATTCATGTGTTGTTCAATTGTTTCCTAAATTTTTCAGAAATATGAAAGTTGAGCTTTATTATGAAGTACAAGGCTTGAGCACTTCTCACACGCAAAACCTTCCAGATTAAGTCTTTCCACAATTATCCTATTTCCTTGTAGTTTAAAAAGGTGTCAGACTTCAACTAATTGCAAACATCTCTTCTCTCTAAAAGCAGCAGATTCAGACTAATAGCATTCATCAGAGCTGCTCTAATCTCTGCAGATTAATTAAATGCTAAGTTTCATTGTGGGTTCTGGTGAATGGTTATTTTTAGCTTTTGAAAGCACGTTTTTTAGTCCTTTGCATTTATTTTTTCCTGGATAAAAAGTTTGAGTCCTGTATGTATTTTTATGATGGCATCTGTCTATGATTATATCTGGATGTCATCTTGCCACTGGGGTGGACCATAGCTGTGCAAAAGAAGAGTGAATTTCAACTAAATGTTTCAAATGGCAACAAGGTAAATAAGCCCCCAGTTTTGTAAGAGGGACTTATGGAGAGGTTTGTAGAGGACTTGCATCCATTTCAAATAACTACAAATGTGAATTCAATTCATATTTGTGTTTAAGCTACATTATACATTGTGAACTGTTCTCGTCTGTATTTGAAGTAAGCTTGATCCCTCCTTGGAAAAACTGAATTAATATGCTTTTAATGCTGCATGTCTGTCCTCACTGAGTTTTAACATGGTTTAACTAAGTCCACTCAACTTTTGATTTAGTCAAAATAAGCCTTCCTCTTGTATACATTGTTTATTCCTTTGTCAGATTTTGTTATTAAAATCATATGTATATTCCCAAATCTTCGTTCGCGAAGCCTCGCCATGATATGTTAATATAAAACCCAAATATGATTGTCACATCTTGATCTCAGATGCCAGTGGCTCTCAAACTGGAAGTGTATGTACCCTTTGGGTCTTTGTATGCCCTTAAATGCACACAGAGACCCTGCTTCTGCTCACTGAACTCCAATGTGTGTTCATATACCTGCCACTGTTTGCTCTCTAGCTGAGTTGCCTCAGATGTGTTGGGTAAAATGGAGGGTGCAGTGGCTGCGTGAGTGAAGTGCCAAAATGAATCTGAAATGTGCATGTATCAGTTTGTACCGAGAGGAGATGAATGGGTAAATGTTAATCCAGGTATCTCCAAGTCTGACAACTAAACCCTGTGTGGTATAAACACAGTATGCTTTAGGTTATTACATGTTTGAATAGACTTTTAAAGTCTAGTGTAGAAGAGATTTCTGATGTGTTTTGGGCACTGGAGAATACATTTTGGTGCTACTTATGAATCTGTAATTTCTCTGAATTGGTGCAATTTTTATTCCCTTTAAAGAATATCTCATGAGAAGCTTTCTGTCAAAAAATATTGCCATCCAAAACATTATCAATATTGCCAGTTTAGCTCACAGAGCTCTTTCAGAAAGTTGTAATTACTCTAATAGAGTTGCTGTTTGCAAGTTACTCTTTTTCCAAAGGCATATTTCATACAATGTTTAGTCCTTCGGGGATGACAGACTGACAAAAGAATGACACTTCAATATGAGATTCCATGTTTAGTGAATAATTGAGATGAAAAAGTCTTTAAAATAGTTATTAAATGGATCCTGCTGTAATAAATTAACAAAGCACACATCTATACTAAGCAAAACTAGAGACCTTTTGAAGGTCTAGATAATAACTACACTTTTTTTAACTTACTTCTTGTAAAAGCACTGAAGAAAACTGAGTGGCAAATATATCTTGTTCTGTGGGTAGAACTATTTTATTTTTATAGAACGCTTAAGCCTTCCTGGCTCAGTTTGCACAAGGAATACAACTGATAACCATCATTTGTTTGATAAAGAGACTGGGTTTTAGATTACAGAATTTTCCTCCTTTTTTCATAAAAGTGGATTTTCTCATTTATTTGGACTGGTAGGTTTATTATTTTTAGGGTTGAAAGAAATGAAGAAGAAGAAAACTTTATCAGTAAATTTAGAACTGACTTCTATTCATTGCAGTCAAATAAAAAAGAGAGGTAATCTTTCCCATTGTCTAACAATATTATTGTTTCTTGCACAGAAATATGATGGCCATCTTCCTATAGAAATAAAGGCTGTTCCTGAGGGCTCTGTAATTCCCAGAGGAAATGTTCTTTTCACAGTAGAAAATACAGATCCAGAGTGCTACTGGCTTACAAATTGGATTGAGGTCAGTTTTGGAAATTTAATATGTTTTTTCTAAGTAAATATTAGTGCACTTAAATTAAAGGCTGAATCCCTTATTATTGCTTTAAGGGAAATCTCTGGCAACTTTCATTTTCTGCTTTTAGTAAGCCTGGATTCCTTTTCTGTAGTCCTCTTACACAGACTTTTTTTTGCCACCTGGTAGGAGATTGTAATAATTTTACAGGAAATTCACCGGTACTTTTATCCACAAAAAAAGGAGGATGGGGGAACTGTGTGTCAGTAGTTTGGGAGTGATAATTCATGAGAAGGTCAATACCTCAGCTAGCTTATAAAGGCTAATTGCTTAAGCCCCAAAGCAAACTGTTGGAGGAATCAGTACTTTCTGTACAGGGAATGAAAATAAATAGACCTTTTTGTGCCTGCTAAAATGCCAAGTGGGCATTGCTAAGTTCTAAGCAAACATACACCTAATACTGTGATGGGTTTTGTTTTAGACTATTCTTGTGCAGTCATGGTATCCAATCACAGTGGCTACAAATTCTAGAGAGCAGAAAAAGATTTTGGCCAAATATTTGCTAGAGACTTCTGGCAGCTTAGAAGGACTGGAGTATAAACTGCATGACTTCGGCTACAGAGGAGTTTCTTCACAAGAGGTAATACTACTTGTCTAATAATTTGAAAAATCTAATTGTTCTTAACTATGAAGGATTGTAGCGGATATCTGTGTCCCTGTTCTGCACTGAAGTTGTGAATGCACAGAGCACTGTGGACTAGTTGTGGAGGGGGGAGATCTGGGGTGGGTAGGTATGTGTCTGGACTGTGAGCACTAGACTGGGAGAGCTTTTGCCTATGTCTTCCCTGTGTAAATGCAGGAAGAGAGTATTGGTGAAACAAGAACTAAGTCAGAGTTTTGCTAACTGCAAACTAGTGCTGGATGGTGACTGGATTTAGGCTCCTGTATTTGACATGGAAACTGAAAGTTGCATCTTTTTCAGACTGCAGGCATAGGAGCTTCAGCTCATTTGGTGAACTTCAAAGGAACAGACACTGTAGCAGGAATTGCATTAATTAAAAAGTACTATGGTACAAAAGATCCAGTTCCAGGATATTCTGTTCCAGCTGCTGAACACAGGTAAGATACTAGGCTAAGCCTTTCTAAAAACAGCTTAACAGAATGTAATTTTTTTCTTATCCATCTTTGTATCCAGAAATATACCATACAGTATTAGCCATGATTGATCCAGCTGTAGAGGCTGCAGTTGAGTACTGATGCCTCTGTATGTTCCAGGCATGATTGGTCTTAACTAAAAATGTGTTTGAAATGTTTTTAACCGTAACCTTCTTATCAGGTCTAAGTAAATTTGGATTATTCTTTTTAGAATAGACTTGAAGGCTTGTATGTTGTAGATATTGAGGATTCACATTACGAACTTCAAGTTTGGTTTTAAACATAAAATCATAAATTGAAAAATCATGTAAGTGGCAATTCTGAACTCTCACAGATCATGTTCTCCCTCCAGAAGAAGTAGTTACTCTTAAGATCCCCATCAGCATAACCAGTTCAGCCAATGGTAAATCCTTGATCTTTCACTAAGAATTGTGAATGAGTTTTTAAGAGTAAGGAACTGATCTCAGATGTTTGAGATGGAGAGCTCTTATTTTTTTTGTATCCAAATGCTGTACAAGGTTAGGATTGAATGCAAATCCTTGGTTTTCAGTTGCAAATCTACACACTGAAATGAGCAGAATATGAAAGAAGGTTGTGTTTTTCATATTGAGCACAAAAGCCAGTTTAATAGCATTCACTTAGGATTGCAGGACAGATAATAGAAAGGCTTACATGAATAGTCCCTGTAGGTTAGTGATCACCTTTAAAGGAGCACTGCTTCACAGAACTTTCTGTACCATTGCTGTAGTGCTGTTCTAGAACTCCTGCTTGATCAGTAGAAGTGACAAATTTTGTCTGAAATTTCTTCTCTTAGCTTAGCTTAATACTACAGATAAATTCAAAAAATGATGGCCCAAGCAATTATAAAATTTTTTGTAATGAAAGCAAACACATGGAGTCAAGAGATCAAATGTCTTTTTTACAGCATATTGAAGTGGTGACATTAGAGCAGACAGCTTAAACTGCCCTGCATAAAGTCTGCATTGCCACCTGCAGACTGCAGCCGCCCTTTCCAAGTTAATACACGAAAAGGGTCTCATACAAGAGACCTAAATTTTTTCAGAATTGTTATACTATTCCACAATCTCCAATGTGAGGTGGTGGTGTGAGTGTGGTGCTTTCCTCTGGCATGGCAACAGGGCTGTTCCTGGAACTGCCTCAATCTCTGCAAAGCCAAGTTTGTTTTGTCTCCTCACTACCGAGATCTGAGGCTTGTCCACACAGTAGTTAATGATGGAATTTTAAAGTAAAAGTTCAATGCCACTGACTCTTACACTGTGCTTGAGAGCGTTTTTGGGTCTTTGTGCGCAGGTTACTAAAGTCAGTTATGTCAGCTGGTCTGAGACAGCCACGTACAGAACAGCTACTGCAGATCAACTGGCATTCAGTAACTTATTACTGCTCTCAGCAACTCTGGTTTATGTGCTTGCCTGTACCCTTGTACCAAGGGTAATGGCCTGGGGTTCCTCTGGAAGAATGTTTATATGAGTGAGAATAATGGTTTTATATCACTATTAAAAAAGAAAATAAATTCTGTTTTCTTCTTAGGATTTTTCTAACATATGGTGCTTCGTTCTCAACTTCCCATTTTGTAGTGTGAAGTTGCCAGAGCAGATGTTCTGTTCTTGCATCTGTAGTTCCCTAACTGTCTGAATTTCAGACTTAAAAGAGAGACTCTCTCACAAATGTTCATAAAATAAAAAAATCACATTTACATGTGAAAGAATTTCATGTGCGAAGTGTTTGTCTGAAGTGCCAAAGATAAATTCAAGGTGCTGTTTATTTAGTATATAGGCTTATTATCCATGCAACAGAGCTGATAAGCACATAGTTTATGCTGTCTTGTAATCACATTGCTTATCATTATCTTGAACTGTTGGTGGTAGGAAATACAGAATATATGATTTTATGTACAAGTGCCACTTTAATATGAATTTTTCAATTGCCTTTGCAGTACCATAACAGCCTGGGGGAAAGATCATGAAAAAGATGCTTTTGAACACATAGTAACACAGTTTTCTTCAGTGCCTGTATCTGTGGTTAGTGACAGCTACGACATTTACAACGCTTGTGAAAAAATATGGGGTGATGACCTAAGGCATATAATTGAAGCCCGAAGTCCAGAGGCGCCACTTATTATTAGACCAGATTCTGGGAATCCCCTTGACACTGTTTTAAAGGTAATCCTTTCTTGAAGTCATTTGTATACAAGATTGGGAGGGCGGTTATTTGTTTTGTAATGACTGGCTAGCAAACATAGAAACATAATGCTGCAACTTGATATGCATCGTATATATTTGATACTGGCTAATTTGGGCTTATGAAAAATGTAAATGTTTAGTTCACTTCAGAGTAGATATAGAAACTACAGCCTAAATAGTTTAGTATTTTTCATCAAACCCATTCTTGCATAATACATTTGTGCATTGTTACCAGTTTTGCTGAGGTAATGATGCTAGAATGCTTCTATAAAGAGAAATTTTCATCACTTAATAATAAATACGATTGGGAACATTTAAATATTAATAAATGCAGGTCAATAGAACTTCTTAGTTTAGATATCTTGGCGTCCTCTATTAAATCACTGTCTCGTGCTACAAATACAAGTTTAGTGCTCTTCTCCCTTTTCTAAGATGTGCATTTAAGTCAGTGGCACACAACCTCCAAGTTGAAAAATGCTTCTTACCTCATTGCTCTTTAGAGAGCATAATGATTGTTGCAGTTTCCTAATAAAAGCTGTTGATACCTCTGAATTTGAGTAGCTGTCAGCACTGTCCTAATAAGAAAGTAGGGGCAATTTTAGGCACATTGGTACTCTATCAAATTGGATCTATACAGCTTTAACACTTTTTTTTTTTTCCTTTGGGACAAGTGATGTGTCACAAATAGGAACTGTGAATGACCTTTATCAGAGCTGATAAGAAAAGCTCCTAACTGAAGTGTTTCATTTTAAGTATTCATGGCTTACAAAATCACAGAAAACTGAAAGCCTCATCCATTGTCTTAAGGGAGGTCAAAAGAAGAGCAGAATCTTCAGTTGACACATTTAATAACAAAAATTCACAGCAAGCAAAGGGAGAAAGGAGGGAAGCATGTTTCTGATTAGCTTTTGGGTACAAGTTCACAAAGACCATATGGTCTGTGACTGCTTTAAGGGCTCCCACCACAATGGCTGGCATGTTTTTTATTTGTGCGGGTAGATTTAGAGCATGATTATGTGGGTATATTTATGGATTTATTTTATTTTTTTTAGAGAGAATGATTCAAGTGTGGAAATTGTATTTCTTTATTGGAACGGCAGATTTTTATTTTCATTTTGAACTGTCTCCTTTCTCTTTTCAATAGGTCTTGGAGATCTTGGGGAAGAAGTTCCCCATTACAGAAAATTCAAAAGGCTACAAGTTATTGCCACCATATCTCAGAGTTATTCAAGGGGATGGTGTGGATATCAACACGTTGCAAGAGGTAGGAGATCCTCTTCATGTGTCAGGGTGACACTGGCAACGTGGATATTTAATCTGGACTCTGTTATGACTAGTCAGATATTGCAGCAGAGACTGCTGACCCCATCCCTGCCCTTCATTTCAGACATTGGCAGCGATATCATAATGTGTAAAACAAATTCATTAAAACTCCACAGGAAATTATTAAAATGCATAAAAAAAACCCTAAAAGGAATTTGCTAATCCCCTTGTTGTAACCCTTCTCTTTCCACCGTTTCTCCTTTTGTTTGCTTTCATCATGCTTGTCAAGTCTAATTGAGATCAAAATCTGGCTGTGTTTAGTCCTTCATTGATGTCTAAGGCACACTGTGCATGATCACTGTGCTACAGCAATAGTAATTAACTGGTTTGGCTCATTAGTTATGTACCATCTGAAGTGTGTTTGCTCTCAAATATTGAAGGTGTAGTTTTGAAGGAGGCTTTTTAAAACCAAGGGTAAGGAAAGCAAGTTCATTGATTTGGCAACTAGTGGAATAAGGATCACTGAAAACCAAAATATATGTGTAACAGATTAGGCTGTAGTCCGAATCAAAATTACAATTTCACCAAGACAAAAAATGATTATTTAGGAGATGCTGTGTGCTTGAAACTAGTCATAAATTCTCCACTATTGAGTAGATATAGATTTTAGGTAATACGATATGGGTACAAGGGTACAGACTGCAGTGACTACAGATGATAAAGGGCATGTAGAAGGAAGAGGACTTGACTTTATCAGGTTTGTCCTTGATCATTCTTCTCCAGCTGTATTAGAGTTCAAAAACAGAAATAAGTTGGATAAATTTAAGATTAATTTTACTTGAATTTATTGACGCTTGTCCTAGCTTTCTAGACCAACACATCCTTAAGTTCTTAACAAAGCTGACTGTTACTGCTCCTCAAAATTAAGAGTAAGAGAGATACCAGGTTTGTTTTTTAATTAGTCTGAATCTATTTGTGGATCTAACATGGGCACATAATGTGAACCTCAATGACAGAACTCAGAGTTGTCACTTGGATCCTTAGAGAACAGTTAATACTGAGATTGTAACCTGAGATGCCAACTGTAGAGCAGTCACACACTACAGTTTTCTTCTGCCTCCAACACCCTTTAAAGTAAATTTTATTTTACTTTATTTTTTCATCCCATGTGGCTTTTTGAGAACATACAACTATGCTAGTGTGCTTTACAGAACACAAGCACAAGAGGTTAATAGCTGGAAAGAAAGTCTTATCATTAAATAGCAGGGGAAGACACTCTCTTTGTTAAAAAAAAAAACAAAACAAAACAAAAAACCCAAAAACCACACAAAAGAAAACTTGTTCTCAACAGTGGTTTAACAGGACTGATGCTGGTGGTAGGCAAAGTATGTTGTGATTGTGATGTTCGTGAGTTGTCACAGGAAAGAAACTGGACTATTCTTTCTTGTAAGGAACTCGGGTTACTTTCTGTGGGTTATACTGGCCAAAATTCAAGGATGCTCATATAGCATTGATTCTAGTCAAGATATTAAAACTAGTATTTAAAATATTTGCATTAGAGTGAAAAATGCTCTGCTCTCCATGTTCTAAATAGAGTAGGAAAATATTTGCAACAGCTGTTGGGGGAGGATAAGAGACACGATGAGCAATTCTTTATTCAGGTGATCTGCCTGTTTACATATTTTCCTCATCAAGCTGCACCTAATTATGAGAACTCTACCTGTAATATGTTGTAGAAGATCCAGTTCCACAAGATATTCAGAGCAGACATAACTACCTGCTGCCTGGTGGGACCTTCCCATCTCTTCCTGACTGTAATCTTGCTGTGCCTCAGGGCAGCTTTTGGTCGTTGAACTGCTGGTCATTATAGTTTAGACCACACGTGTAGCAGCAAACTGACTCAGCCAAAAATGACCACTTTTGTGGTTTAGTGAACTAAATTATCCCAAAAGGGAGGGCTAGTACTTGCCAGCACTATACAGGAGAAAATAAACTGTTGTTTTGAGCTGGGAGAAACAGGCAGGAAGGAGGGAGACACTTCTCATTTGACAGCAGCAACTTATGTTGGAGCAAAATGACCATGATCTTGCAAACTGATTTTAGTTGTGTTTACGTTTCATGGGTCTCTTCATGCTCTTGTGTCAGCAAAACCAAGGTTACCATGCTGACTTTCAGAAGATTGGGTAATTGTTTACCATTTAAAAAAAACAAAACAACAAACAAAACAAACAGAAACAAACACCCCAAAACAACCTACAACCCACCAAAACCAAATCAGCCCTGAAGTATAATTCATTCTTTTCCGAAAGGAGTTTACATAAACAAAACAAATGTATTGTTGTGGCCATAATTTTTCCCTCCCCCTTATAACCCATGCAAGTCATTATTCTAATTACTCCACATCGATGTTAGATTCTAGACATGATTTACTGTTACAGGTCAGAGGAAAGGTAATGGGTATAATAGGAAAATCTAGAATGGGTAATGGCCGATTAGCTATCCAGAGTCTCACTTAGCTATCCAAAGTATGAAACAACAATATAGAAAACAACTCAGAGTATAAACTGGATTTTAAAATTCTTTGTTTTAATAGGGGATGCTGGTAGAACAGGTAAGGAAACTTTTCTGACTTTCTTTGCATTTTCACTTTTTAAAATCATTCCAATCTGCTAACCCCACAATATACTACACTTTCAAAGGATTTTCTTTGAACATTCAATTTCCAGATATCTCTAAATTTTTATGCAAACAAAATCCTCTAATCTGGAGTCATAGTTGATGTATTAATCATGCTCATAACGGTCAGAGGAAGCTGGTCAAAACCTTGACACCTGAATTGTTCTCCTATATAGGTTTGAAAGTGTGAGACAAGAAATTCTTCTGTATTATTTCTCCCTTTGGGGGAGGCTCCAGTTGTTTCAAATCTCCTCCTTCTTTCCTATTACTGCTACTGTTTCCTATCTCTTCCCCGTACCTAAGGAAGCTGTTACCTGGGCCTTTGCTGCGGGTCACTAGAGCTGTCTTTCAGCTTAGTCTTGATTTCTCTTGACCCCTCACCAGACAAAGATCAGTCTGAGTAAGGAAATGCCTTTGAGAGAGAGGAAAGTGAGAAGCCAGATCTTCACCTAGAGTAAGCAAGGATTTGTGCCTGTAGCACAAGGTGAACAAACCATCTGTAAATGAGAGCAGAAACACGACTTGTAAGGGGGTTCACATTTCTTCTCATCCAGGCAAGAAGGTTAAACTGCCATGGCCCAGCTATGCTATACTTGGTCTAACATCTGTCAACCTGCAAGTTAACCTGCAGTGGACATGAAGTCTAAGCATCACGTGCCTTGGTGTAGGATGTTATTTATATAGGTAGTTCGTGCTACCTCTTGCAGGCATGTTCAAGCAAGTTCAGTGTCAGACCTGAGCTATAAAACTGCATAATGAAAGGAGCAGAAGACATTGGCTGAAGTTTGGCCAGCAGTTCGCATGGCTTCAGGCTTGGTCAGTGTCTGGACAGAACTTGTTCAGAGTCCAGGTGGAGTTTACCTACATTTACCTCCTCAAAAGACAGTGTAGGTAAGAAAAATCCATATCCAGGTTTTCTCACCTGCTTTTGTTAGTATGTTAGGAGAAGAGAGTGTTTCAACTCTATATTGGGGCTATAACCATAATTTCAGGCTGCCATAAAGGTAATAGGTCAGGGAAATAAATCTTGGCCATTTATGAGCATGACTAAGCAAGCTCCCATTACTCCAGGCTAGAGGATGTCATGTTTGTCTGGATAGAATGAGGGTAAGGGGAAATGATACAGTAATTTTTACCGTAACTATTGTTTACAGTGCAGTTCACATTGATCTGTACCTGCCTGAGAAGATGGCAAAGCAAACTTAAAGCAGCTTGATATGTTTTCATTTCCCATCTTCAAAATTGCTAATCTAATTCTAGACAATGTGTCTTCAAGAGAACTGCTCTGTACAAATCATTGGTCAGAGTGGGTAATAATATTCTGGAGTTGATGAGCAAGATGACTGCATTGTTTCAGGATACAAGCTCTGCTTTGAGGTCTTCCCACAATTCTGAGAAATTGGAAGGCTCTAAAGTACTCTCATGGAGTCTTTTATTTTCTTTAGAGCTCTGTTTCTCTGGGCATTGCATTACTGTGCCACCCTAGTTTGGAAAGTATATGTGCTGGCATAATAATAGTGTTACAGCAAAAGCTTTCTGTAATTATGCCATGCTGAAACCGTAAATAAAAATGCAAACAGTGTGCCAAGTATTGACCGAATTATTATATACATCTCCTGGAAACTGAATGTTAGTTGGCTTAATTGTCTGTAAAAGCATCTTGTTTAAGTAGTATAATATTTTTATGGAAAAATGGCGTGACCTAAAAGTATGCTCCATCATGATTTTCTTTTTCTTATTAGATTGTGGAGGGAATGAAGAAGAATAAATGGAGTATTGAGAATATTGCCTTTGGATCTGGTGGAGCTTTGTTGCAGAAACTAACGAGAGATCTCTTAAACTGTTCCTTCAAATGTAGTTACGTGGTGACCAACGGTCTTGGGGTATGTCTTTGTACAGCTTCTACCATTATGCTTCCAATACAGGCCTCCCCACCTGAAAACCTGTTTGACATTTCCTGTTACATTACCACCATCTGCATTAGGTACACACGAGTCCCACAAAGCCACAAAGTATTTTTAAAAAAATACTCTTTTCATTTTAGGTAAATGTCTTCAAGGATCCCGTGGCCGATCCCAACAAAAGGTCAAAGAAAGGACGGCTGTCGTTGCATAGGACACCTACTGGAGAGTATGTGACACTTGAAGAAGGCAAGGGAGATCTTGAAGAGTATGGACAGGTATGAATTTTAGAAATGTATTACATCATTCTTCATGCAAAAATAGACTGAGAAAAAGCAGGTTATAACTTAAGAATTTATTTCTGTTTGTCTTTTTGTTCAACTCGCATCTTATTACCTCAAAAGTGTCCCCAGTGCCAAATTCGGTAACCAGCAGAATGTTAAAATGCCAATAGAATATTTATGCTTTACAATTAGAGATCTTTATCTTTTGTTTGTCTTCACAAACAAGAGAACATTGCTGCTGTTTCCCCAAAATTGATGTCTCAATGTTGCAGAATATATGTTGGCCAAGTAGTTTTGTTTGGAGTATATTGCACAATTTGAGTAGTTGGAGGTGGAAGAGGGACAGATGTAACTAAAATTTGTTTATACTTCCCCACTGAGACTTTTTAAATAGTTCCTTCAGGGGTTAATGCTCTGTACACAGAGTAGTTGCCCAGTTTTCCAACTTTTAGATTTAAACCAGGAATTCAGTTTCCCTGTGACTTCTTAACAATTGCAAAATGAAATGCTATTTCAGTGAAATAAACACAAACTTTAGGCCAATCTCAAGCTTTTGATTTGATATCTCTTGCCTTTTCAGTGTGCAACATTGAAATGTTTAACTGCATGTTGACTCTCTTCCCATATTTAAAGGACTGAAAATAAGTTGTCAAGTTGCACTTTGGCTTTTAGAAGCTGGAAGTTTCTAGAGTTCTCTGATATACAGAAGCCTGTTTCTGTGCTACTAGGCACACTGTTTTATGTAACAATAAGGATAAAACTGAGATCTCTGAGAAATTTGAAGATGAAAAAAACTAAGTTATACACGCTGTAGATATTGTGCTCTGGATGCAAAGATCTAAGAAAAAAGAGTTTCAAACATATATACACATATGCATGTACATATGTTTGTGATAAACATTCAGAGAGAGAGAGACTGGGGCAGGGTGGGAGGGGTAAGGTGAGAAATCTCTTCAACACAAACCATGAGACTTTGGCTCTGAGATGAGGCCATATATAGTCCCTTCATTTTTGACAGATGAAATCATTCACTAAAATTTTTTTGGTCTTGGGATATTAGAGAGGGTTATTTGTGTGGTACAGCTTCTGGGAACAACAGGGAAGTGTCCTCTTTTGTGAGGCCGTTTCCCTAAAGCTCCAGGTCCTTGCAGTAGGTCACCAAGCACAGGGACTGCTCAGTGTTGCTGTTGTGCTGACTTTTTGAGTGCCACACTGAGCTTATTGCCCTCCCAGTGTGCTGCTTTACAAAGTGTATATGAGCAAAGGGCACTGTGAAGAAAGATATTTTATTTTTTTTTGTAGTGGGGAAAAAGATTTAATTTAATATAAAATTGTAAAAAATCAATTTGTATTTGATTGGTTGAGTGTCATCTTTCTCACAAACTACTATAGCAAGGTATCAAGGCACTACCCAGCATAAAGCTGCTGTCTGTGCACAGGATGGCCCAAGCCAAGTCCTTTCTTTTGACTAACCATTAGTGAAAAATATCAGAAGAAACTGTAAAGATTATCTTGATAGTTAAAGCTCTAGTCTTACCAGCCTTGATTTGTGTGCTCACTTTAGAGTTTGTGTAACTTGTGTTGTTTGATCATTTGCCAAATTGCTCTTGCTAAAACAATGGTGTTTCTTGCAGGACCTCCTTCACACTGTATTTAAGAATGGAAAGGTAACAAAGTCATATTCATTTGATGAAGTAAGACAAAATGCCAGGCTGAAGAACAGTGAATTACAAACAGCGTCTCACTAAGTTCCATTCCATGTCTGTGTATGTGTGTGTGTAACAAGTTCGTACTGCATACCTACTGGTTTATTGTACAGATTTGTGTGTTTGTGTTTTATGACATTGTAGCCAAATTATTTGTTGGTTTATGGACATACTGCCCTATCTTTTGCCAGTCTTTAGAAGATGAAATCAGGAAACGGTACTTACATTGTAAAACATATTTAATGCTAAAGTGTGCTTTTTAGGGCCCTTTGCCAGTAGTGATTCAATCTGGTATTGATCTTTTCACAAATGAGACAGAGCTGAGAAACTTTTTTATATATAACAGAATATCACAAAATGAATTTACATAAAATTATCATGATTGCTTTATGTTTATATTTAACTTGTATTTTTGTACAAACAAGATTGTGTAAAATATATTTAAAGTTTCAATAATTAAGTCTTTCCAACTTTTCATGATTTTTATGAGCACAGACTTTCAAGAAAATATTTAGTGGGGGGGGAATCCATTGCCTTTTGTCCATTAATCAGCAAATAAAACATGGCCTTAAAGTTTGTTGTGACATTGTTCCATTTGACAACTAAATCAGGACTCGTATCTCCTTAAGATCCCATAGAGTTGCTGACCACACCATTTCTTGTAGTTGTCTGTATTAGTAAATCTGCATTAAGCAAAATTACTGTTCTTACTAGAAGGCTTAGGTACTACAGATCTTGCTAGCACAGTAAGGTTTGTAAGTGAAATGCCAAATTTGAAAGGATTCTCTACTGCAACTTAACTTGCCAGGTCTATCCCACTTGGTATATGCACCTCAATATTTTAAGAGTAAAGTTTTTAAGAGATCTCCTCTTCCACTATAGAATATATGTGTAAAATACTGAAATATGGAAGCGGTGTATTTTAAAGTAATTACACTTCTGGGTTTATTTTTCATATACTGTAAGTGACATGACTTTAAAGCAAAATACTGGACTGGGTAGTGCACTTTTTTACTTTTTTGTATTTTTTTCATTGATTTGCCTTTTGTCAGACTGGATGTTAAATTGTAAAAATGTTTAACTATTTTTGTTAACAACTTTAATAAAAGTCTATGCTAGCCAAACTCCTACATGAACGGCAGACCTGTTTCCCCTTCTCGCCCCATCTCTTTGGGATGAGGAGGGGCTTTTATTCTGCAGAGGGTAGCTGTAAAACAATATGTTTGAGATATAGCTTTGAACTGTCTGCACTTGATTGTATTTGCTCTCTGCATATGCTTGATATGAGTATCTGCTGGAAAACAAAACTGTTGAGGATTTTATTTGAGAAGCTATGTAGTAACCTCTGACATGTTTGATAGTACTGTAGGATGGCTCTCACTAGAAAAGTACCTCCCTTAGAAACAAAAAGCTACAGCAAAAGCAAACAGCTCCTGTTATGCTGGTAATCAGCTATCAGCCAATGGCTTAATATGCTGATATAATTAATGCTTCTAATTAGTAAAGAATGTTACTGAAAAATGTTAGGGGTCCTCTAAAATAATTTAAACATACAAAATTTTATAAAATGTGCTTTTAGAGGAAGCTTGAAAAGCCATACTTCATTATTCCTATTCTCTCACCAAAAAGGGCCACATCAAAGCATCCATAATATTTCTAGGGTTTGTGGTTAAGATGTTTATGCCCAGTCTCAATAGTTCTTGTTAATAAAAACCTGTTTCTCACTTGTAGTGTATGTAATTATACATTTAAGTGATGTATTGTTTCAAAAATAGTGTTTTAGTAAGACTCTAAATGCTGACCTTTCACACTGAGGAACTGCCTTCCCTTTGCTATTAATTATATAGTTTGGTTTTGGCCAGGAAAGGTTTTGAATCTGGACCTAGGATCAGTAGCAGGTATTTCACTCTAGGATCAGTAGCAGGTAAATAGTACAGAGCCTATTTCACTCCTCCACATGTGTACTAGGGAATTCTATGATGTATGGTTTAAAAAACAATAAAGTAAATGCTGCTTTCATTCTGTACCAATAAAAATTTTGATAACTATTGACTACCCATAACTGATATTTTTGTACTTGAGAACTGAGGATATACTGTGGAAGCACTGTTTTCTTGTGTACCATGAAATACGTTAGTAATTGTTCAGTATTGTCTAAAACTTTCAGCTTATTAGTTGGAAACTCAAAGCAAATTCTCTATTTGTGCATGTCACTTTCGGAAGGTTGTAACGTCACTCATTTTATTAAATGTTAATATCTCTAAAAGGGAAAAAAGAAAAAAAAAGAAAAACACCTGGTGCTATTCAGACTTGAATACTTGTCTCTGTGTTTGGCGGTTTGATATTCTGGGCATCAAGGAGTTGACAGAAATTACTGCAGTGCTTGAACCATACAATATCCTAATTCTTCCACATGAAAGCAAACAGCATGTTTGTTTGCTTTAAATTACTAGATTTGTAGTCATTGATATATTTTAATTATCCCCATTTCATAATATAATACAGTATTTGTATTTAAAAATAGGAATTGGGAATTTTGTGTTTAATACTCTGATTTGTAACCATATTTAGCATAAGAAATGGATTTTGTAATACTATTTTTTTCTTCAACTGCATGATTATAAAAAGATGCTTTTTTGGTACTTTGAAAGATCTGAGGAGAGAACAGAAGAATACTTAACTGTTTGGTTTGCCAAAATCAAATCAAAGCTTAAACAGTTCTTTTCTTATAGGTTTTTACATTCCTTCTTGTTTAGGGAAGAATAAATATTCCTCACTTAAATCCTCTGTTAAAGTAAGTTTAATGTACTTGACATCAAATACCAGTATGTAACACACATGGAAATAAAGTTTAGTTCTGGCAGCGAAAATAATAGCCATCTGACTGTGTCTTAAAGTTGTGATGTTGGGCATCAGATGTCATTCCTGTGCTCTTTGTTGCCAAACGCAGACCAGAGCAGAGCTGTGCTGTCACTGCAGCCCTCTGAGGAGAGCTGTTCTGCTGGCTTGCAGGCAGTCTGGGGCAAAGTGATTGAATTTACAATCAGCTCAGTTCTAGAGAAGAGAAGGGAAACTGGGCACTGCTTTTTTTTTTTCTGCTTTTTTTTTCCTGGAGTGAGCGCATCTGTGCTTCAGCATCTTTTCTGTATGTGCTTATAACTGAAGCACTTGTAATTGAATATATAAGGAATTATCCTCTATATTTGACATAATCCTTTCTCAAATAAAGAAGATTCATTGTTTAAACTTTACCTCTGAAGTCGCTAAAAATGCTTGTTTAAAAGCAATTTAACCATCAGTGTTTTAGCCTTCAGTTCATATTTAGTATCTGTGAAAAATAACATCAGCTCTTTGGCAGAGAGAACATCTCATGTCCCTTTGGATGGGATTTTCATAATTAGAAGTCATACTTTTAACTCCTGCATGACTTCAAATTGCAGCAGGTACCTTACAGACACATCAGTATGGGTGTATAAGGCACCTCCTGTAATTTATCATCTGTTATTGATCATCATTTGCTGCTGGTCCCTTCAGCTCATGCTGTACTGTAGAAAGGTGCCCTTATAGCCTTTTTAGCACTTGAATTTAAAGTGTTATATTATCTACAGAGAATCTGCCCAAGTGTCAGGCAGGCTCCTTCTCCTCCTTTCCGTGCTGGTAAAACCCACCAGCTACAACACTCTAGATTTTCTCACTCTAGTCGCCCTTTGTGCAAAAGTAATTACCAGTGTGAGTGTGCAGTGGTGGCTCCCAGGTCACTGCAAGGAGTCAGCAGGGAAATTCCAGGCCTCAGACTGTGCAGAAGGCAAGGGACTCACAGGAAGAGATTTATGTCCTCCAATTCTACTCTAAAAACTAAAATAGTGGCTGTGCTGAGTTGCTCAAGGCAGGGACTGTGAGGGTGCATTTGAACAATGGTAACTGAATCTCTACCTGGTAACACTGGGGTTTCTTTGTCCATGAGAGCCCTATCAGGGTCCTGCACATCTTCTCTGTCAAATTTGTAAACACCTGAGTGAAAGGTCATCCTCTTGTCTTAAAACTGGTGGGTAGGGGCCTTATGTGGAGAGCTGCATGCCTTCTAAATAACCAGATGATCAGAAATAAGGAAATACTGAGATTAAAGATGCTTTGTGAAGTCAGGCTTACTGAAATCACAGTTGTTAACCATGGATGTTATGTTCTTTCGGGGGGTTTTCCTGTTTTACTAGCAGCATAGCTGACTTCGTTGATTATTTTAAGACACCTTCACAGGTATTTTAATTCATGGTAAGGGATGAAAAGCACTTAGCACTAGAGCATTTCCAAAAAGTATTTTTCTGTGGCACAGTATGTTGTTGAAAGGTACCCTGATGCCTGCTATAATATAATCCAGAGCAATTCAGAGGATATGGGAGGGTAGTCAGCAAGATTCTTCTAAAGTAACGTATTTTGTTCCATATAATTTCGTTACTAATCTTTGTCTGAGGACTCCTAACTGCTTTTTGAACACAATTTGTAGAACTCTCAATTTAGGGTGAGGTTTCCTGGAATTAGAATGGCAGTCCTCTCTCCTGCTCCTGGCTGGAGTAGAGAAGTCTCTTAAGGGTGGCTCTTAAGGAGCCATCATGCCTCCAGCAAGGTTTTTACTTCTCTCTTATAAATATCAGCAGAAGGGCAAGTTTATTGTTTGTTTATCTTTGAGCCAAAAAACCAGTAAATTTGGGTTCTGTAACTCTTTTTTCCCCCCCAGCAATTTAGTTTATATATAAATCAAATCAAGCTATTTCACAGATTTACTGGATAAATTTGCACAAGCATACTCTAATTTATTAATATATGTAACTATTTACACTTTCTAGTGTTTTGTTGGTTAATATTGAGATCTATAAGATCTGAGGATTTGATTCTTGGTAATTCTTCCAATGCTTGTGCAAGGAAGCATATTGTATATAGCCATGTAATTATAAATTGTTGAAAATTACTTCAGAATTTTTTATTGTTACAGTACTTAAGAAATTCAAGTGGATAGATAAAGGATGTGTGGAAGGATCTGAGGGCTGGACATTTTTACTTCTTCGTCATTAGTTTAGGTTATTAGTATAGCTATTTAGAGCTTTCCCATCAGCTCTTTTATACAAAAGGAGATGAGGAAGCTTATTTTATAATGACTGAGTATTCATATCACCAGAATATTAAAAAAGTAATGCACATGTCAGACAAACAAAAGGACTCTAAACCTTACGTCTTCTAAGGTAAAGGGAAGAACTTCAGTCTCAAACTTCCTTCCCTTTCCTACAACTGGGAGAAGAAAAACCTGTTTGCTCAGAATATTTGGGATGTGCCTTCCTCAGCTTTCTGGCTGTAAAGAACAAGGGTGGTGTACTCTTCCCTTTCAAGGAATTTTTCCCTATTCCAAGAGATGCTACCCTATTTTAAGCATAAGGAATTGTGGTTCCCTGTTGGATGTGTCAGAAGGATGACATACCCCAGCAATTTAATAGGATAATCTCTGGGTGAAATGGCTTTGGGTAGAGATACGTCTGTAAGTCACAGAAAGGTCAGAGCATGACAACTAATCTCCCTCTGGTGGGGGTGCCTCCCTGCCATTTCTGTCTCAGCTGAGCAGGTTCAAGTCTATAATCTGCTGTGAAAACACAGAATCTGTACAACCAAAACAGTGTTGCCGAGTCCCTGTGATAACAAAGCGGGTGGTCTGTTACTGTGCCCCAGTCTAACCTTAATCCATTTTTCCAGGCTTGTAGCTTGTAAAACTTGTTAAACCAAATGCCAATGACAAACTTCATTAAAGCTCCTGTTCTTCTCACACACTGTGGGTTTTGCAGTCTCACCTCCAGCGCTGCTGCTTGAAGACCATTATTTGTTTTTATTGCTACTGTAAATCTCCAGAAGATCAAAAGAAAGATTTCACCTCTGTACAAGGTTTTGCAATCCTTACACCTTCTGACAAAAGCAAATATATTTTCACACTAAAACCAAATGAGAAAGGTAATCCTTTGCTGCCATTTGTGTCCTGAGTTGTGACCATGAAAATGTTAATAGACACGTGAGAATCTGTCAACAATAAGAATTTGTTCTCTTGAAAACTGGTTTCCTTGTAAAAGCCCTATAAGGAAAGATACACTTAGAACCTTTACAGTAACTGGTGAAACATTGCTGAATACTCAAGCACTTCAGCTTGTTTTCTGCAGGTGCTTCTTGATTGACCAGGTTCCAGTGGGTTGCTCATGGGTCATCCCATGAGACAGAGGCTGCACTGACATACAAAGTAGCAAGACAAAGTTCTCGAGATAAAGACACAGAGACTACAATGCTGGGTCTGGTGTGTGCTGGGCAAGTCCCACACTACTGGAAATACCCTGTCCCACTGCCATCCTGGACCCCAAAGGAAAAAATGCATTTTTGGTGGGTTTGCTGAGCCTAATTCAGCTCCAGCTCTGCTTATAGCTGTGGAGACAATTCCCATGGCTGTTTTGTTGTAAGAAAGCATGTACGTGATTAATTCCTGGTCTGTCTTTCACAGCTCGTGCTGGATTAGGCAAGACCTGAGAAGAGTTTCAGTAGTTTCTTCCCCGTTACAATGGACAAAAAGACAAGAACACATATGGTTATTGAATATGTTGTGTGCTGTAAACCAGCATGAGAGGAGGAGTGACTTTGCGGGTTTTGGTATGATTGTAAATAATAATTCCTTCCCAAGTCAATTGATTAGACACAAGTGCTGTCACTGGGATGGTTGTTATAACACCTCAGCAAAGGCAAGGCTATTGAGCTGCCTCTGGTTCTTTTCCAACTGACTTTTTTTATCCACTACTCTCTTAAAACACATGGAGTTTGTGAAGTACTACTACCGTCAAGCAGCCATGGGTAATTTTCCTACAATGGAGTAAAGCTCTGTGTTACAGTCTCTGTTCTTGATTAACCTTTGAATGGCCTGCTTTTGGTTTTATTTGGTTGGTTTTAGTCCTACTGAGCTTTGTACTGACATTTTTATGAAACTATTTTTTATAACCCCAGGATTTTCAATTTAAGAGGTAGTAGATGAGTCATAACATGTCACTTCATGCAAGGTTAGGATTATTTTCTCCTATACGCATTAGTTTATACTGAATTTAATCTACTATTTTAATTAGCAATCACTGTGTTTCATAAGGTCCTTTTGCAATTCTTCACAATCAGCTCCCACCTTTATTACCCTGTGTAACTCAGCACCTCCAGCAAGCTGTCACTTACTTGCCCATCCTTCTCTATGTTGTTTAACAACATGTTAAGCAGCA